TCTAAATCGGTGGGAAAGGCTAATCACTTTCAGTTCTAACAGCTTACAGGTTGGTTAGATCCATCATATTGAGGCAATTTTAAAATCATTTCACATCTTAATTGGTAGATTTCATATTTGTTGGATCAATAAGAGTGTCCATACAATTTTATTAAACAAATCTTGATAACTTGCTTAAAGTTAAGTGCATTGATGAATAATTAACCATTCAATACATAGAGGATATTGAATGAGTGTAGGTTTAATACTAAACAAGATATGTTTGTAAAACATGTATGCCCCCTATCAGCAGCCAATTAGTCATGTGATAAGGTTATTATGCATGACTTCTGACCAGGTGATCATACAATTAATAAGGGTTATCAAGTATCTACTGGTCATGACCTTAACCTTTGACCCCTTGACCCAAAACTCAATAGGGGTCATCTGCTGGTCACGACCAATCATCATACAAAGTTTGAAGTTCCTAGGCCTAAGTGTTTTTAGTTAATTGATCGGAAACCGTTTTAACATACAAGGTCAATGTGACCTTGACCTTTGACCCCTTGACCCCAAAATCAATAGGTTATCTGCTGGTCATGACCAATCACCATACCATGTTTGAAGTTCCTAGGCCAAAGGGTTCTTAAGTTATTGATTTGAAAGAATTTTTACCTAAAAGATCAATGTGACCTTGCCCTTTGACCCCTTAACCCCAATATCAATAGGGGTCATCTACTGGTCATGACAAATCACCATACCAAGTTTGAAGTTCCTAGGCCTAAGGGTTCTTTAGTTATTGATCGGAAACCGTTTTTACCTAAGAGATCAATGTGACCTTGACCTTTGACCCCTTGACCCCAAAATCAATAGGGGTCATCTACTGACCATGACCAATCACCATACCAAGTTTGAAGTCCTTAGGCCTAAGGGTTCTTTCGTTATTGATTAGAAACCGTTTTTACCTACAAAGTCAATGTGACCTTGACCTTTGACCCCTTAACCCCAAAATCAATAGGGGTCATCTGCTGGTCATGACCAATCACCATACAAAGTTTGAAGTTCCTAAGCCTAAGGGTTCTTTCGTTATTGATCGGAAATCGTTTTTACCTACAAGGTCAATGTGACCTTGACCTTTGACCCCTTAACCCCAAAATCAATAGGGGTCATCTGCTGGTCATGACCAATCACCATACCAAGTTTGAAGTTCCTAGGCCCTTAGGGTTCTTTTGTTATTGATCAGAAACCGTTTTTACCCAAGAAGTCAATGTGACCTTGACCTTTGACCCCAAAATCAATAGGGGTCATCTACTGATCATGACCAATCACCATACCAAGTTTGAAGTTCCTAGGCCTTAAACTTCTTTAGTTATTGATCGGAAACCGTTATTGCTTACAAGGTCAATGTGACCTTGACCTTTGACCCCTTGACCCCAAAATCAATAGGGATCATCTACTGATCATGACCAATCACCATACCAAGTTTGAAGTTCCTAGGCCTTAAGGTTCTTTAGTTAATGATCGGAAACCGTTTTTGCTTACAAGGTCAATGTGACCTTGACCTTTGACCCCTTGACCCCAAAATCAATAGGGGTCATCTACTGATCATGACCAATCACCATACCAAGTTTGAAGTTCCTAGGCCTTAAGGTTCTTTAGTTAATGATCGGAAACTGTTTTTGCTTACAAGGTCAATGTGACCTTGACCCCTGACCCCTTGACCCCAAAATCAATAGGGGTCATCTACTGATCATGACCAATCACCATACCAAGTTTGAAGTTCCTAGGCCTTAAGGTTCTTTAGTTATTGATCGGAAACCGTTTTTGCTTACAAGGTCAATGTGACCTTGACCTTTGACCCCTTGACCCCAAAATCAATAGGGGTCATCTACTGATCATGACCAATCACCATACCAAGTTTGAAGTTTCTAGGCCTTAAGGTTCTTTAGTTATTGATCGGAAACCGTTTTTGCTTACAAGGTCAATGTGACCTTGACCTTTGACCCCTTGACCCCAAAATCAATAGGGGTCATCTACTGGTCATGACCAATCACCATACAAAGTTTGAAGTTCCTAGGCCTAAGGGTTTTTTAGTTATCACTCGGAAACCATTTGGTCTACGGACCGACGGACCAACGGACCGACGGACCGACAAGTGCAAAGCAGTATACCCCCTTTTCTTCGAAATGGGGGCATAATTATTAAATGAGTTGAATAAATTAAAAATCACGTGAGCCTCTGGCGAGCATAATATTGTTTTATTCAACAAGTTCAAAAAATTTAGTATTAAATTTACACGAGTATAATCACATATATAAAATTAGAACGATAAACTGTAAACAAGAGTCATTTTTCTTTGACGTGCTTTTAGTGTAGCTCTAAAATTAGCGCCTTTAAATGCTTTGTTTATAGCGCAAATGACATGACGTCAAAGTGTTAAATATCGTCTTGTTTAATATCGTTTTTATTTGTTTGGGTCGTCAGACCAAACAAATAATGGTAGCGAAATTTCAGACTCTAATGCTGTAAATTGCAAGTGCCGAAAGTAGTCCGCTTTTTTGAAGCGGATACTTCCCTTTATATGTAACACATAGGCCGAAAAATTTAGGGGAAATCACTGCATAAATATGGTAACATGACAGGCGGATTAATTTTCAAGCAAAGTAATTCCCGAATGGTCGAATATTTATAATATTGTTTTATTATACATGCTTATAGTAAGCGCCATGATTATTTACACCAGTGTTAAACAACAGTTAGCGTCGTTACAAACCCCAACTAGAATATTATGATTTTCTTCAGGCCATTAATATATAAATTCAACGTGGCCGAGGGGGTTTGCGCGCTCGCTTAGGAAGCGAGAGGTCTGGAGTTCAAATCCCAGTTAAGGCAACTCATTTTTTTTTCAAATTGTTTAAGTCAAATAAACATTAGATCGAATATCAGTGTTGCAATTAGTGTTATAGCCATTCTACTACAATTAAAACGCTGGAAAGCATTGGTGGCACTATACAAAAACAAATTATTTTATAATCACACAACCTTCACCTTTCTGACATTCTGAGACCCAAACTAATTCAGCGCCTTCTGTGCTTTGATTATTAAATGGCTTTATTACACTCCTGTGCTGCGGTTTATATGATAAATGTATTTTATCTTCCAAATATCTATTACACTTACTTGAACACAATTTCAAATTCAGTTTAGATTGACAAGAATTTTATTACCTGCTGGCATGATTTTTTTAATGTATTTAAGTCGAAAGTTATAACATAAACATCTATATCTAGTAAAATTTGAACAATTTTAAATGGCTACAATGAATAACATAACACATCTTTAAAGGCACATATATGCTTCGGATATGGATATCTTTTTCTTCTTTAGAAGGGCAAAATAACAAGAGCAATATATCCTTTTTACTTAAAGAAAGTAGCGCTAAATGTGAAACTGTTTGTCTTAAAAGTAGCCAAATGCAAACAATTTAGCGATATTTGAACTTGCATACAAAATACTAAATCACTGTAACTGCCAAAATGCAACTGATCCGTAATTTTAAGATGGTTGAGGTATAATTGGTCAATGAATAACTTTAAAACTATTAACTAGACACCATAAATAAAATGATTTTTGAAAAATAAAAATAGAAAACTTCTTCGATAGAGACGTCAACAGTAGATTTTCAGCATATCTGATTCATATATCAATGAAGTTAAATATATACCTTTATCAAATGACTACTAGTATAAATTTTATCAGCAACATAGGGGCCATATTTCAGCAACAAATACTTAAATTGTTGAGAGATTATCTTATTCATTCTTTAATACATACAGATACATTCATGTCAAGATTTGCTACAATCTATCTCACCAGTAATAAAATATGTTTTAAGATGGAAAGATTGTCTCATGGACAGACAGACAGACGGCACCATTTCAATTTTCAATATTCCATAGGTATTTATCCATTCCAATAACTAATAAATTCCTATCCATTGCTTTAATTGACATTTTACTTAAAGGATACTCCAGCAAATTAATGACAAAAATGAAACAAGAGGGCCCTGAGGTCGCTCACCTGTATATAGGCCCCCCCCCCCCAAACGTTGCAGGGCCAATTTAACCAAAGGGCTTTTATTTGCACAAACTTGGTAGACACCCATAAGAAGATGTTTTATGCTAAACATCTAAGCTCTAGCTCATTGGGCTATTTAAAAGAAGATTTTTTTTAAGTTTTTACTATACACATATAGTTAAAAACAATGACACCCCTGGGGCCGGGCCAGTTATGACCCCAGGGTTTTTATTTGAACAAACTTTGTAGACACTTACTAGAATATGTTTTATGCTTAATATCTAAACTCTAGCTATTTGGGTTTTTTCAAAGAAGATTTTAAGTTTTTGCTATACACATATAAGGAAAATCAATGACCCTGGGGCGGGGCCAATTTTGACCCCAGGTCTTTTATTTGAACAAATTATCTTTTGTACTCGAACCACGCTAAAATAATATTTTTTAAAGTCCCAGCATGAATTCCTGTATAAATTCTATATATTTTGGGTTTTAAGCTTAAATATATATCTATATTATTATGTTGAATAAAAACCTAGATGCCGACAGCATCACCGAGAGGTTTTAAAACAAGTCATGTGACTTGAACAAACCCTGAAAGTTACAATAACAGATATTGTGGGTATTGTATGATTGAAACAAGTCTAAGTAATTCATTTTACATGTTCTTTAACGTTTCCAAAGTTAACTGTGACAACTATTGTGAAATCTTAACACTGTAACCTCAGGCATGTGGGTCAAGTTAAGAAACAACCATTTTATTCTTCATAAGGAGAAAAGTTTTGTTACTGTGACTGCCTAGTGTATTCATTTTGAAGACATTTATAGAATAATGAATGAAAAATTCAGAACGAAGAAATGAAAATTTTGCCCGTGTCTCCCTTTTAAGCCATGCCCTATCAAAAGACTGTTGTTTAATGTGTTATATAAACAAACACTATTTCAAGTACAGTATGGTAGTAAACTTTAATTCTTCTTTAAGAAAAAACAACATTGTTTGCAATTTTAAAAGAACATTTTCGTCACCTGAGTGCAGTAACAGGTTAACTCCTATTACATTATATAAGGAGTTAACCTGTTACTGCACTAAGGTGACAATATGTAAGAACAGGCATCATCATCATTATATACTTGGTAAGTCATCATCTTCATTTATATCTTCATCCACCTCTTCAATCACATCTTCTTTGACTTCCTCAAATATTTGCTTACTTTCTTCTGCTCTTTTCTTTTTTCCTGCTAATATAGCTTCCTTAAACAGTCTAAGGTATAATCTGCAAGCTTTGTACGAGTCATCGTTAGCTGGTATTGGGTATGAAATTAACCTCGGATCACAATTAGAGTCAACAATTCCTATCGTAGGGATCAACATCTTCGCACACTCAATTACACCTCTGTGACTTTCAAACACACTGTTTAAAGTATTAACAAAGATACAAACATCCGGTAGACGTATCCTTTGTTCAAAAGCCCTCGGCATATCAGTAAACAGCCCTGGTTGCCAGAATCGACAGTGAGCGTACTCCCCGCAAGATTTTGCAGTGCTCTCTATATATGGCAGCATAGCCTTGTTTCTACTGATGAACAGAATGACTCCACCTCTGTAAGCAATATGGGCTACGAAATTCAAAGCATCTTGAAAGAGTGGAGCTGTCTGCTCTAAGTCAAAAATATCCATGTCACCCCTGGTGCCAAACAAGTACGGTGACATGTACACATCACGACATCCTTTATTGTGACCTAAATGGGCGTTTACTAAAAATAGATCTTTCACAGTCACAAGTTTTCTTACATTGAAATAGTCTTCATGCTTCAAAGAGTCCGGAGTTTCCTGGTCTGAAATAATAGAAAAATGACACAGTTAACTGTTTTGTATACAGGGCATTTTCAAGCTATTTCGGGTCAAAGGCCCCTGGCATATGATAATCAGATATGTTGGGAAAATTTATTCAACATCAAATAGCCTAGAACACAACTACTGACAGAAGACCCTTTTCAATTGTATTAAATTTGTCCAAAAATAAATTTCATCTAAATCACTGTCATCTATCCTTAAAAAAAAATTCAAAAACAATTTACCTTAAAATTCACTCATTTATGGACAGAAAAATTGCTAAAAAAAATGTAACAAGAGGGCCATGATGGCCCTGAGTCGCTCACTAGAAACAACTACTTTTCAGTGTTGGAAATTATCCATTGTCAATATTTTCTAATATTAAATTTGAGTATAGAATATGTTTATTAAACAATAATTTGAAGAAATGCCATGACCTGGTGCATTTAAGCTTAAGATTAAATCACTGCGGATGATCACGTGACCAAAATCATACAATGGACTCATAAAATGGCGGCTTAAACGCTTGGTAAAAGCAGTGAAATTGAGGTAAGCATACAGTTAAATTTATATGTAAAACTAGGCCGCACAGAACCCCAGTATAACAACCACCTACTGTTCTGTTATTGGTTACTTTGTACCTCTCTCTGTTTAGGCCTGAAAGTCGAAAAAGTTGTTTAGGGTGATGAGTACAATGGCCGAACAGGTACACTAAAATGCGTTGTTTTCAGTAAAAGATACGCATTTTGAGCAAAATTAGCAATGACATCTTGTGAACAATGGCAAGTTTGCCCGTCATGAACAATTTCCATCCTTTGTAAAGTTGCATAACAAAGTTGTGTAAAAAAAAAGAGTACAATGGTCGAACCAAATTTAATGAGTACAATGGCCGAACAATTTTATTGCCTGTCCTATTTCGTCAATTTTTTCATTGAATTATGCTTGTTTCTCGCTTCCAGTCTTTGAAATCATATAAATATGATATTTGAAAGTGAAAAGTAGGAAGAAGTATTAAATTAAATGATTTCAGTTTGCTTGCTATACATTCTCAACTTTATCATCCATCATCCATCAAAATCATCCATCATCCATGTTTAAAAGTTTTTGTATTTTTAGCTCTGTTGACCCCTAAAAGGGGCCAATTGAAATGGCATGAGCAGATTCAAGTGTGACTGTCACAAGGATGCTACAGACCAAATTTGAAGTAAATCTGCCCAGCAGTTTCAGAGAAAAAGACGCTTGTTGACGCATGATGATGGACGCCAGAGCATCCCCCTTTGATACAAATAGCTCACCCTGAACCTTCAGTTCTGGTGAGCTAAAAACTGTTATATATCTTGACAGGACGTCAGGATGTTTTGATATTGTGAAAGATATAAGTTGGCATGTCATTGCTATGGGATGAAGTTGAAAACTAGAAATGTGTCCATAGGACACTGATGCCCCACACGCTACTGTTCTGTCAATCTTATGACTCTAGGTCAAATATTTTTTGGACTACATGTGCAACAAGTTGAAAACTAAAAATCAACAAAGGGCCATAATTCTCTTAAATTTGGTCACAGCGAAAATTCCTTCCTTTACTACCATCTACACATTAAGGTTGTTAATCCCTGGAAGTTTAAGCAAAATCTGTCATCCGGTTTAAGAGGAGTTGTGTTCACAAAAATTCTACATAGTATTTAGTGAAAAAATCAACAAAGGGCCATAATTCTGTTAAATTTGGTCGCAGCGAAAATTCCTTCCTTTACTACCATCTACACATTAAGGTTGTTAATCCCTTGAAGTTTAAGCAAAATCTGCCATCCGGTTAAAGAGGAGTTGCGTTCACAAAATTTCTACATAGTATATAGTGAACTAGAAATGTGTAATCATGCCACGGATGCCCCCGCATGCAGCCAAAATTTCAGATGGTGCATTAATTATTTTTTTCATTTTAAGTTCAAAGCCCTTAAAACTTTTCAATGTTAACACAAACCATGTTCAAGGCACTGAAATTATTCAGTCTTAACCTTTTAAAAATAGCATATTGCGTATTTGTAGCCAAAATAATGGCTAAAAGTATGAGTGCTGAAACTGAAAGTTCAAAATTTTTCCAACATTCAGGAAAGATAAGTTTGTCTAAAATCATTGAACCACGACCAAATTCAAACTTAAACTGCTTATTCCTAAGATGTATCAATATTATTTTCAAAGTGAAAGGGACATAACTCTGCCAAAAAATCATCAAACCATGACCAAATTCCAACTTGACCTGCCCATTCCTTTGACATATCCATATGTCAAATTTAAGTTGAATATGTAACACTGTTCAGAGCTACAGATAAGCTTTTGAGTTAATTGGGTATTTACCCCTGGACTTGACAAGCAATTGGGTAACACAGAAACAAAATTGGGTATCATTGAAAAATTTATTGGTTTGCATAGATTTGCATCGGTCAAAATATTGTCCAGGATCTCGGAAACAATATACACAAAGACTGTTAACAAACATTGTCTAAAAAGTTCATTTAACAAATTTTTTACAACATCTGGCTCGGTAAAATAACCAAATATTTTGTTAGACTGCATTGAAATAATTAATTTTTATCAGCCCCGTTTCGCCATTTTGTTGAAGCAGAAAGTAAATAAACCTCAGTCTGGACTGCTATTTAGTTATCTCTCATAAGTATATAAAGCTTTTCCGCTTAAAAATATCTTTAATATAACCAGTCTACTCAATTGTTCCCGGTTAACAAATGGAAAACGAAAGTACAGAAAGGGAAACAGGCTATTTTCGGATTTGTTTGGCAGTTTTTGCTAGGTGAATTATGGTCCAAGATAATGAAAATACCCTAGAGTATCAAAACAAATTGGGTACTGATATTTTGATTTGCGTTTTTATTACGCAAATTTTTTATTTTATTTGGGTAAATTGGTCAAAATTATTGGGTAATTACGCAGATACGCTGCTTATCTGTAGCACTGGACTGTTGGGTAGATAATGAACAGAAACTGTAAATTTCATATTATTTTCAAAGTGAAAGGGGCATTACTCTGCCAAAAATCATTGAACCATGAGCAAATTCGAACTTGGCCTGGGCATTCCAAAAACATATCCATATATCAAATTTGAGTTGAATGTGTTGTACCATTGGGGAGATAATAAACGGAAACTGAAAATTTCATATTACTTTCAAAGTGAAAGGGGCATAACTGTGCCAAAAATCATCGAACCATGACCAAATTTGAACTTGACCTGCGCATTCCTTTGTCGCATCCATATGTCAAGTTTGAGTTGAATGTGTTGTACCTTTGGGGAGATAATGAATGGAAACTGAAAATTTCATATTATTTTCAAAGTAAAAGGGGCATAACTCTGCCAAAAATCATCGAACCATGACCAAATTCGAACTTGACCTGTATTTTCTCATGACATATCCATATGTCAAGTTTCAGTTGAATGTGTTGTACCGTTGGGGAGATAATGAACGGAAACTGAAAATTTCATATTATTTTCAAAGTAAAAGGGGCATAACTCTGCCAAAAATCATCGAACCATGACCAAATTTGAACTTGACCTGTATTTTATCATGACATATTCATATGTCAAGTTTAAGTTGAATGTGTTGTACCATTGGGGAGATAATGAACGGAAACTGAAATTTCATATTATTTTCAAAGTAAAAGGGGCATAACTCTGCCAAAAATCATCGAACCATGACCAAATTCGAACTTGACCTGTATTTTCTCATTACATATCCAAATGTCAAATTTGAGTTGAATGTGTGCAACCGTTCTTAAGATAATGAACGGAAACTGATGATGACGGAATGACAGAATGACAGAATGACGGAAGGATGGAAGGACGGAATGACGGAACAGGGTAACACTATATGCCCCGGCCATTACATGGCGGGGGCATAAAAAATCAACAAAGGGCCATAATTCTCTTAAATTTGGTCGCAGCAAAGATTCCTTCCTTTACTACCATCTACACATTAAGGTTGTTAATTTCTTGAAGTTTAAGCAAAATCTGTTATCCGGTTTAAGAGGAGTTGCGTTCACAAAATTTCTACATAGTATATAGTGAAAAATTCAACAAAGGGCCATAATTCTGTTAAATTTGGTTGCAGCAAATATTCCTTCCTTTACTACCATCTATACATTAAGGTTGTTCATCCCTGCAAGTTTAAGCAAAATCTGCAATCCGGTTTAAGAGGAGTTGCGTTCACAAGATTTTGGGACGTACTGACGGACGGACGTACGGACGTCTGGCCGAAATGGAATAAAGGGCCATTTCTTTTGTTATTTTCTATTGTTTAATAGAGGGCCAATGGCCCCTTACTCTATTGTTACGGAATGAACTCTATTGTTCTCTTTTGTTCTGTTTACAGTTAGATGGCCCTTTATCCCTATTCGGTAGTGCGGACCGACCGACGGACGGACGGACGGATGGACAAGTGCAACGCTATATGCTCCCACATTGTGGGGGCATAAATATACAACTTAACAAAAAAAATTTAACAAATTTTTTACGTTTTAAAAGAAAAGCCCTTTAAAAAACCCAAAGGGTTTTCCTTCAAAAATTTGAAAAAAAATTCAGAATAAAAAAGGGCCCCTTGTACCCCTAAAACAATTTTTGGCCAACCCTATTTTGACCCATTTTACCCCCTTTAACTCCAACTCAAAAAGGAAGAAAATATTAAAGATATCCCTACCAAATATGAAACTTGAATGACATCTTATTCTTAAAACCCATTCACAAAGGTTGTATGGACAAAAGTGTAAAAATCTCCTTTTAACACTGAAGGTTTAGTTACATATACCACAGTGCAGAGCATGCTGGTTGATTGGCTAATTTTTTTTCTGGGGTTTACTTTATGTGACAACAGTAAAAGGGATAAAGATAGAAATGCCATATTCAGATGCTCAATCATTGGTTATTTTTTTCTGCGGTTTAAGATTGCGACAACAGGGAAATGTTTTTATTTTTGCCATTGAATGGGACAAAAAGAGAGAGAACATCAAAACAGTGGCATGGCCCCCTCATACAAATCAGATAGCCATGTGTTTCGATGCTCTTTCTATAACTAAGTAGGAGAAATTTAAAATAAACCCAAACCCTTGCCCAAAAAAAGGTTAAACATAAAAGGGCCCCCCTATTTTCAAAAGTGTTTAAAAAGGGGGAAAAAAATTTAACCAAAACCAAGGGGAAAAGGTTTCAATTTAATTTTTAAAAACCCCTTGGGGCCAATTATTTCAATGTAAGAAATGGCCCCATAAAAAATTAAATTAAACCCAAAATGCAAGGAAAAAGGGTTAACCAAACAAACCTAAAAAGAAATTTAACCAAACTTTAAATTCCCCCAAATATCAAATGGAAAAGGGGAAATAGCCCCCAAATTTTTAAAAATGTACCTTTTATCAGCATTTCAAAATTCTTTTTAAAAAATGGGTTTAAATAAAAACTTTTAAACCCCTCCCATGTTTAAGAATTTCCCCCACATGTTTTTTTTGGGCAAAAATAAAATGTTAATCCCCAAAAAAAATTTTAGGTGGGCCATTTATTTTTTTTCTCCATAGTCCATTTTTAAAAAGGGGGTTAAAAATTTCACCCCTTGTAATTCAAAAACCTGTTTTCAATCAAGCCATTTATAATATTTTATATACATGTATGACTGATTTTCTTTTAGGCATTGTTTATAGTTGTGATACTTTTCAAACCTGTACTGTTTTCTGCCAGGCCCTGTCCTTTTGGTGCACTGTGGGAAATGCATCTTTTACATGTCCTTAAAGATGTTCTGTAACCTGTATTAT